AGCCACAGAGACATTAGAAGGAACTTTTTCAGTGTCAGAGTAGTTAACGGATGGAATGCATTAGGCAGTGATGAGGTGGAGGCTGACTCCATACACAGTTTCAAGTGTAGATATGATAGAGCCCAGTAGGCTCAGGAATCTGTACAAAAGTTGATTGACAGTTGAGAGGCGGGACCAAAGAGCCAAAGTTCAACCCCCGCAAGCACAAATAGGCGAGTACAAATAGGTGAGTACACACACTGTGAGACCCAGTTGTATCATGTATGTTTTTTTTATCTTTATTTAAGAAAATACAATATAAATCATGTATGTTAAAACATGTGGGACGAGGAACTGTGGCGTCTCACTCTTATGAAGCCTCATCTTGGTAATTTCAGTTAAGCCTATGTGTTCTAAACTTTTTCTCACACATTTTGTTTAAACAGTTTGGGAAAGAATCTGATGGAAAAAATGCCTCATCTTTCATTATAATTTTATTTTATTTTATTCCTTAAATTTTAAATTAGTTGTATTAGCAAATTACAGCTTGATAACTGTATGGATCATGACGACCACTAAGTAAAAATTTAAAAAAAAAATATTTACAGTGAATTGCTACCAGGTTGGAAAAATATAAATAAAACAAAACTCCATGTATAAAAAAACTTAGGCAGCGTGAGGCCAGCCATCCCTCCAGAGCCCTCCACCATCACCCCCTCCCCCAAATAAAGCCACTAGCATCGCCCCTTCCCCAAATAAAGCCACTAGCATCACCCCTCCTCCAAATAAAGTTACCGGCATCGCCCTTTCCCCAGAGAAATCCACTAACATCGCCTTAGGCTATGGTAGTGAGTTTCTACCATCCCACAACACTGGCACTCTGCAACACACACCATCAACACCTGCAACAAGGCCATAAGCCTTGTGGATAGGTCACAAACCTTTACCAACCCCAATTATCCTTTGAATCAAAATTAATATTACAATTTTCCGCAACCTATCAGTCCCCTCTCCCTTAGCAAGCCCCTTGTAAAAACAAAATTAACTTTTCCATGCGTATAATTAACCTTTCCACATATAATAATTTGCTATCCACATGTAAATGTAGTTTAGTGAGGGAAAGAAATGGTTATGCGTGATTCCTATGTCCCTCGAAACAATAATTATCATTATAATTATTATTATTATTATTATTTTAAGCCGTCATATTTTAATTCGTAAATTAAACGTGTATATCTCATGTAGTATATTGTAACCTGATGAAATATGTGTTTGTACACCTACAATTTAGACCTATTGTCTCATGTCTCATCTTTTGTCTTGTGTGGAGGTGGATATAAACAGCATCCTCACTGAATTTATCAGATTTAGCAAAATTGTATATTCATTTTGTCAATAATAATGTGAATAATAAATAGCATAGATTATACTGTATATAATTATAATGAACACAGGTTGTGCTGTTATTACGACTCTTTCTTATGTAAATAATGTACTGAAATTTTGGGTAAACTCAATTACAAACGTACAACCATTTACGAATATAATTGTTGATTTTGTTTTATAATTTTCACAGCGTATTTACAGTACGGTCTTACGCCATGTATAGAAGATAACTGGACCCTAACTTTCATACTATAATTGCTGGGTCTCTATAATCTGATCATTCGCAGGCTTTATGTAAAATATAATTGCTTTTGGGAAATCATTGTTCTCTAATTGGTGAATTGCTTAAATTTTACCCATCTAAATTGACCGATAGTGAAACCTGTACATCACGGTACCTTTGGCATACAGAGCTGTCATATATATATATATATATATATATATATAATGCAGCATGACAATACACCGACCCTGTTGCCAGTTGTATAACTGCATGTGTTGCAGGTGTGAAGCCTCGTCAAGGCTGTGGAGTCGTAGCCTAATAATTTGGAGTTAGAAATACCACTTTATCTATGCAACATCAAAAGATTTCCAGTTGTATTTCTTAAATTTGTTTACGTATTATCAATTACCTTTTTTATACAACTAAAATAAGTACAAGAAAAGAAACTTGTGACTATTGAGTTAGGCTACTCGTCGACATGTGTAAGTTAATCGTTAATCATGCATTTAATCATTAAAACTGTTTTTCAAACAACAGCCGACCTGCCAGTCGCTTTACAACCAGGTCCTCATTTACTGTTGGGTCAACAGGCGAGTGGACTATTAAGGACTAGTGCCCAGTCGACCCTTCCTTCCCAAGGCTCGAACCCACACGAATTTGTAACAGATATTCCATGCTTTTTTTTTAGCCATATATTGCTAAATCACTACTGGATTAGAACATTTATATTCCTGTGCGTAACTTCGTTAGCCTTTATTGGCTACACCTTCTGATCCCTACCGTGTCCACGAATACATTCCATGAATCTTATTTTTATCTCCGGTTAATATTACTTTAGCAAATGAAATCTTTACTCCAAGGCAAACTATTTTTTTACTTTTAAATCAGTATCACTGTATTTTGGAAATAAACATGAACACCTGTGAGAAGGCTAATGACAATGTAACACGTCTGGCACAAAATATTTTTGTTATTTTGGATATATTAGCTCCAGTTGCCTATGACTTAATATGTGTGTGTGTGTGTGTGTGTGTGTGTGTGTGTGTGTGTGTGTGTGTGTGTGTGTGTGTGTGTGTGTGTGTGTGTGTGTGTGTGTGTGTGTAATTACCTAAGTGTAGTTACAGGATGAGAGCTACGCTCGTGGTGTCCCGTCGTGGTGGTGGTGGTGGTGGTGTGTGTGTGTGTGTGTGTGTGTGTGTGTGTGTGTGTGTGTGTGTGTGTGTGTGTGTGTGTGTGTGTGTGTGTGTGTGTGTGTGTGTGTGTGTGTGTGTGTGTGTGTGTGTGTGTGTGTGTGTGTGTGTGTGTGTGTGTGTGTGTGTGTGTGTGTGTGTGTGTGTGTGTGTGTGTGTGTGTGTGTGTGTGTACCCGCCCTTAAAAAAACTCAGACTCCTGTAGCCTATCCCACATCAGCTTCTTCAAAAGTATTCAATCTATCGTTCCAAACTCAAGTTCCATTAAACCTTTCTCTTACAACTCTTATTTCCTGAGCGGTATATCGCGTCACTGCGCGGGGAAACACGGCACGAATTACCACCACAGGTGATAAGACGTCCTCCTTCAGGTAGAAGCAAGAAAAAAACTTCTTCAGGAGTGAGATTCAGGTTTCTACGTCCTTGTGTGTGTGTGTGTTTGTTGACTCAACTCACTCCAATTCTGGAGTGACTTGGATCATAACTGTGATGAGCTTAAATTTGGCTTGGCGTGACCTTTAAGTGGCTCAGCCAAGCCAAGTGTGTGTGTGTGTGTGTGTGTGTGTGTGTGTGTGTGTGTGTGTGTGTGTGTGTGTGTGTGTGTGTGTGTGTGTGTGTGTGTGTGTGTGTGTGTGTGTGATATGTTTTCAGTTACCTATGTGCTTAAAACAGTTTCAGTTACGCTTATGTGCTCTGACATGATTTTATTTACATTCATGTTTTTGACGTGATTGTATTTTACGTTTATGCGCTTTTGACACGGGTATTAATTCAGTTATTGTCCTTTTGACATGATTTCAGCTACGTATGTGTACCTCTGACATGGTTTCAGTTGTGTGTTTGCTTTTGAAATAGTTGCATTCACATGTTTCCTATAGACTGGTTTTACGTAACAATTTTTTGCTTCAGACTTGTCTTAAATCACATGTTTGCTTCACACATGTCACATGTAGGGTTGCTTGACCATGTGGGTTAATGTTGCCTAAAGCCATTTTCAAACATCAGTCATGTCCTTCAAGCCAAGATCTAACACCTGCCATATACCTGAAGTCAGGATCTAACACCTGCCAAAGTAATGAAGCAAGGAATTAACACCTGCCAAATGCTTGAAGTCGTGATGTAACACCTGTCATGAGCTTGAAGCAGGGATCTAAAACCTGATCATGTAGCTGAAACCAGGATCTAACACCTGTCATGTTTGCGCCACGATCTAACACCTGTCTTGTGCTTAGTAAGGCCAAAATCTAACACCTGCCATGACCATGAAAGCAGGATCAAACACTTATGTCCTTGCAGACAGGATTTAACACCTGCCGTGTGCTTGAAGTCAGAATCTAACACCTGTCACGTGCTTGAAGCCAAAATCTAACACCTATCACGTGCCTGAAACCAAAATCTAACAGCTATCACGTGCCTGAAACCAAAATCTAACACCTGTCACGTGCTTGAAGCCAGGATCTAACACCTGTCACGTGCTTGAAGTCAGGATCTAACACCTGTCACGTGCTTGAAGCCAGGATCTAACACCTGTCATGTGCTTGAAGCCAGGATCTAACACGTCATGTGCTTCAAGCCAGGATCTAACAACTGTCATGTGTTTGAAGCCTGGATCTAACACCCGTCATGTGCTTGAAGCCAGGATCTAACACCTGCCATGTGCTTGAAGCCAGGATCTAACACCTGTCATGTGCTTGAAGCCAGGATCTAACACGTCATGTGCTTGAAGCCAGGATCTAACACCTGCCATGTGCTCGAAGCCAAGTTCTAACACCTGCCATATACTTGAAGCCAGAATCTAACACCTGTCACGTGCTTGAAGCCAGGATCTAACACCTGCCGTATGCTTGAAGCCAGGATCTAACACCTGCCATGTGCTCGAAGCCAAGTTCTAACACCTGCCATATACTTGAAGCCAGAATCTAACACCTGTCACGTGCTTGAAGCCAGGATCTAACACCTGCCGTATGCTTGAAGCCAGGATCTAACACCTGTCACGTGCTTGAAGCCAGGATCTAACACCTGTCACGTGCTTGAAGCCAGGATCTAACACCTGTCATGTGCTTGAAGCCAGTATGTCATGATCTCACATAATAAATCGACCCTTTTCTAATATGGAGTATTTTAAGAAAATAATATATATTAAATATGTAGTTATTTCTGGAAATATGCTTAATTCTTAACAATAAATTACTGAGCCAAAATATAATATAAATAAACCATACCTTTTTTTAGCGAGAAGTTGCTGGCGGAGAAGCACTGATATGTATTTACCGAATTAGAGCTAAGTGTATGGTTTTTTTCTGTTACTATTATTGATGTTCAATGGTATAAGGGGGGATTGTAACACAGCGCGAGGGAGCAGCGTACTGCTACTAAGTAACCAGAAGCAACACTAAACAGATGACTGCTTTCCAGGGCCAATGTTGTGGTCCCGAGTGAGAGAGTGTCGTACTGCACGGATTTGGGGAGTAGAATAGGTGATATGTTTGTTTTTTGCTTTTATCATTTCATGCATTTAATGTAGGATGTTTTCATGTATGTGCAATGTTTAGTTATATTTTTTTGTTTTCTAAGGCACAGCCTGAGAGAAAATCAGGTAAGCAATGGGAATGGGTTTACGTGCGCCCGCCAGTCGTATTTTCCAGCTGAGCGAGACCTCGCTTCCCATTTCATTGAATCACGATTCCAGTGATTTGTAGTTTTACGCGCAGAAAATAAAGATTATTTAATGTAAATCTATTCCAATTGTATAATAGAATTACGCAATGTATATTAATTTACAGCTATCCAAGAAGTGCAATATTTCAACTACAATTTACGAGTCACTGTTGAAACTTGCAACTAAGAGAAGAAATGTAGATATTTACATACTACAGAGTCTATCACAGACTAAGAAAGTAATTAGAAACAGAGCAATGCAAAAGACGTACAGTGACCACAACACGGCAGTTGCAACATCAGGATCTGCGGGTTGGTACAAGAATTCAACCAACTATGAACCACTTAGTTTGATGAAAGGGAGCAGTAGAGCAACAGAAGTACACTTATATCGCATCAGGCTTGGGTACCCATGTGCATGGGAAATAGGCTTACAGGTTCCGGAAGATGAGAGGAAATGTCAGCACTGCTCGGTATGAAATTATATTTTTTTTAATTGAATTAAGTATTATAAAACTCAAACACTGTAAAAAATTTAATTTATTGGTCGTAAATAAAAACAAAAAATGATAATACGAAAACATTTATGTAGTCAAACTAATGTTCATTTGCAGCAAAGTAGCCTACGTCCTCGACTCCCAATCGAGTGACCCGTGCTCAATCCTCAGGCAGGACAGAAACGATTGAGCATGTTTTCTTTCACCTGATGTCTCTGTCCATCTAGCAGCAAATAAATATCTGTGAACTAGGCAACTGATGGCCTTAGGGGGGGACCTCGATAAGGGCAAACGCAGGCTTCCTGTCCCCAACATCTTTAATTACATCAAGACCGTTCGCATCAGGTGGTCAATAATTAGTAGATTGACAATAGAGAGAAAACCACGCGTAGGTATTCAAGATATTTAGATAAAACGGAAGCTTGGAATGTTAATATACAGAGTTTATCACACTCCAGTCTGCTTTCCTCCTCACATCCCACGACGCATACTTAGGACGCTGCTCCAAGCATGTACTTAAGAGGTACCCTCCCTGAGCCCTGATGGGCGCATGTATAAACAAGTAGATGGAGTCTTCACGCCCCTATTTTATCATATTTACCATTTTTTACATGGGCACTATTAGGGGAGAAAGTTCTTGTTGACATGGAGCTTGAGGCTGACGTCTACTGGAGGTATGTTGATCATATCTTCCTTCAAGTACCTGACATGGAAGGTTTGTCGCAGTGTACGGCAGCCCAGGAGCTGAGTTCCGTGCTAACCTTCACTCACGGGACGGAGAGTGGAGGGACGCTGCCTTTCCTAGATATAACAGTCTCGGAAAGGAATAGTGGCTTCCATACACTTGTCTATCCTAAGGAAATTAACATAGGAATGTTCCTTAATGTTAGAAATGAGTGCCTGACAGGCGCGAGCAAAGTGCTGTCGACCCCTATGTGAACCATGCTCTAGAAGCGGAGTGTTGTCGAAAACAATGTCAACTGTGCCACCGAGATCACTAAAGGCAAGGTAAAAGAGCCATGATGTCTCTGATGGGGTCAACACTACACGACCTCACTCGCCTATACAACCCTTCCACAAAACTTCTTTTTCCATGGTGAGCCACCACCATACGTGTTATAGTGATGGACCACCACCATACAACACCCAACACTACAGTATCCTCCCTACCTATTAAACTCTTCCATATGAACTTTCTTTCATCGCTTCATAAAGAATCCTGAAAGACTTTATCGAGGGAAACGTGAACCCGGCCGATATTAACCGCAGTTTACATCAAGAATAAAAAGATCTAAAGACCAATGACTTACCCGTACTCAACTCTCCCGACACCAACCATAACATCTTGAAAGAGACCAATGTCATCTATGTCTTTACCTGCCCACTTGGGGGACTATCATTCCCAATGTTCTCAATATATAGGCAAGACAACAACGTCTCAAGCCGCCCAACAATACACAAACAACAAGGCTCTATCGAAGATTACATGGTTTCTGCACACAACCTGACCATTACCAGAGATATCCTCAACACCAACACGGAAATAATCGATAGACACAACAAAAGAAGATTAGTCATAACCGAAGCACTGCACATAAAACAGTGAGCCGGTTATCACCGGCCAGTTTACTCTTAGCCTTCCTGTAGTGTCTACATCAGCAGAGAACTTCCTTCCCCTTACACCACACGTTCTGCCCCGGGTGACATTGACCGCCTGACCCCACACTTCACCCCGTGCTGCCTGGTGTGTGTAATGTACTCCCACCCGCTATGTATTCACTGCCTCCGTGGGTGCTGAAGTAACAACAAACGCGACCTTCAGCGGCACACGACTGAACAAATTGTAATTTGAACCTTGGTGAGTTAAATATTCAACTGCCTTCCCTACAGTAGAACATAAGATATACACAGAATATTCGTACTAGAATTAGTGAGCTAACTCCTATTGTTATATTCAATAACATATGTCTACGAGAAACGCTGCATGGTCTCTACACACAACCACATCACCACCAGAGATAGCCTAACAAATAACACCGAAATAATCGCCATGTAATATAACGAAAATAGAACATCGGCAAGGGACTGTACGTCAAACCCACCCAGGAAGGATACACGATCCTTCCTTCATTGATTGTTGCAATCAGTGGGATGCTCTTGCAGCCCCAGCACCAGACCAGACGCAACAAAAATACTCACAGTCCAGCTGCGACAGCCAAGTGATGGAGGGAAAAAGCTGAGCCCCCAAGCTCCAGGCTGCACTGCCACAAGGGGAGAAAGCTAACCTTAGAGCTGTGGATGCCCCCCCATGCATGGGACTTTCTTTTAGCAGTACCTAAAGTAGCTTATTGTATTTAAACAACATAGTTTTCTATAACTTACAAAAAAAAATACTTTTATATTTGGAATCTGTATTTACTTTTCGTTAGCACGAAAGGAAAATATAAAATATTTAAGTACACAAAATCCCTGCGGGTAATTAAATTTTAATCTAGGAAATATTGAACAACAGTTAATAATGTGTTCAATAAAGTTCATGTTATAGACACCGTAGCAATAATATTAATACTAATAATTACATCAACACTTAATGCCACATCTGTAGGCTAACTGGTCCCTTCTGACAAGTTTAATCTCTCGAAAGACGAGTGAAAACAAACTTTACTTAAAGTTGCCGAAATGTTAAAGTACTCGGTGGACACGAAGTCCAAGAGCAACATTGATGCCGTTGATGTGACGTCGAATCAACGTTGCTACTCTTGGAGAGTGTGTCGCTGGGTACTTCAAAAAATCAAATCAAATGTTTATTCAGGTAAAAGTACATAAATAGAGGATTACTTACAAACATAATGTTGGATTGCAGCGATGAGCCACAATAACGTGACTAAAGTAAGTTGAAAGTCGTCGTCCCTTCACCTTCTAGTGTGTGGTCTGGTCAACATAATGTTGGATTTATAGATAGAGCTGATACATACACTACCTAAAGCCACTAGTACGCATAGCGTTTCGATTACTCAGTACTGGAAAGTCAATACACTTCAGTAAGCAGAATAACACCTGAAGTTCATGAGGCTTTGAACACAACACCAACCCAAACCATGATGTCAAACTTGTGTACTTGGGTGAGGGGAGGAGGAGGGGGGAAGGTTGGGGGGATAGTTGGAAGGCTGGTTAGAGGGTGGGGGTAGAGAGCATATTGGGGGGTAGGGGGCAAGTTGAAGGGTAGGGGGCAGCTTGGAGGAGTTGGGGAGGGGGCTAATTTGGAAGAAGGGGGAGGTGGGGGGGAGCAGGTTGGAGGTAATAAATTAACAAGCCAAATAAATTTTATACAAATTGATAAAAAAAAATCGAAAGATATACCTTAAATTGATAAAAAAAATCGAAAGATGTACCTCATATGCAATACAATCCACTCAACAGCCTCTTTTAACTTAATATATTTTTAACAGATCTTGTTGATAAAACCGGGAAACTAGATCCTTCCTCCCCAGCTGGCAGCCATTACGGTGATGTGTCAATACCAGCATTTGCAGAAACTAACACTTCTCGCCTACAAGACAACATAGATTATAATCATTATACAACTACCGAATTATGGACATAAAATATATAAAAGATGGAATTAATTTCCCTCCCCCTTACTCAAATTTGGCAAACAGATTCAGCAAAGAATGAAGAAGTTTGGCACCACCGGGAGGGATCAGTCCGGTAAACAAAACAAATCAACTTTTTGTATATATATTACCTCAATAAACATTTCAATATCAATTTCAAAATCAACTTTACAGTACACTGTGCCAGCCTTAGCCTACCCAATGACACCCAAACTGGCTACAAAACCCGAGCAATTTTTTGTAATTAATTAATAATAATAAGCAAAACTTTAACCCTTTTGTTGTGTTTTTGCTTGTTTTGTGCGTGTTTATGAAATTTATAGAGAAAATTATGGTAAGCTCGGAAAAAGCAACAAAATTATAAGTGATGTAGTCTGGACGTGAGAGGTTGATATATCTTCAGTGTCTTGATAAAAGTTCAACCAAAGTATTAAGAAACATACGGAGTTTAAAGTTACAAATTCTTCCTTGTCAAGCATGGGGCGCCCCCCCCCCCCACACACACACACACACACACCAGAAAACTTGTAAAAAAAAAACTTGTGGGAGGGCGAATGATACTCATGCTGGGTAAATATTTATTCTATACAACTAAAAGTAAAAATTAGTAAT